CTAGTTATGCGGTTTTGCACTATCCCCTACGAAATATTGATTGCGAAATACGGCTTGGTCAACATTTTGTGGAGTTCTACTTGTTTTGAAGGAAAGAAGGAAATCACCTTTTTTAATACTTTTGATTAATTAATTAATTTTCGTGTACAAATAATGAACTTTGTGATAAATAAAACTTAAAGAACGTTGTCTCTAAATAGTTACATAGTTATTTCTCTAAATTGAAAAAATGCAGCACTTTTATATAAAGAAACTAAATTAGCATTATTTGGTTGCACTTGTTTTGTCCGATACTGTATATAAATATATATTTTTTTTATTGTTTATTTTATAATTATAAATATATACAGTTTTGAAGCATGTAAATAAAAATAAATATTGACGGGGAAGAAAGAAGACTTATATAGCCTTATCACCAAGCTCTATTCTCACGTATTTACAAAAACCGCAATATTTAAATATCTGTAGTTAACAAACTATTTATCAAAAAAAATATCAAAGTAAGTAAATAACAAATCGTTGTCGTTTAAAGAAAAGTTTAAAGAATCAAAATTTAATGAAAGAGTAAGATAAAGTGAATAAGAAAAAATAAATAAGATATAAAGATAAGAAATAATTTGTCTACAATTTAAAAATTTAAACTAAGATTTTAAAATAAAAAATAAATTAATTAATATACACCATAGAAATAACATAAATTAGTATACTTTATAGAAATAACGTAAATAAATTATCAATCGCCATAGAGGTAATACCATAATTAAGGTAATGAAAAAAAAAAAGTTAATACACTCGTGTGTATCCGATTTTAAAAAATATTTAAATTCGGATACACACGAGGACGCTGCTTTATCTGTCAAATAGGACATCTGAAGCTCATGAAAGCCAACTTCTGGATATTCACAGGCGACTTAGTGAAAAGAAGTGCCTGAGAACAAATGTTCAAAAAGCTTTTTTTTCTTGGGAAAAATTATTCCTCTTTTTTTATTTTACAAAGTTAAATTTCAGGAAAAAACATGAGATTTTTGACTCCAAATAATAACATGGTAGCAGAATAAAAAGCAACAGCTGCCATATCTGTTAAAGTTGTTTCAACTTTAGTAACAATTTCATGCTCCTATACTTGCACTAGGCAGGGCCGTTGAGAAAGGGGGGCACCGGGAAAGTTTGTTCCGGGCGGCAGATATCCAGAGGGCGTCAAATGAAATGTAGGCACCTAAAAAAAAAAAAAGTCCTTCATATATAATATAGGGAAAATTTGATAAATAAGAGCTCCAATCAGGTCCCAGACCTCTCGGCGTGACAGCTCTCGGAGGTCCTGGCACTAGGTGAGGAGTACCTTGTTTTAGATCTAATTCCACGCATAGAATTGCATTTATTATCAATATTATTATCCTTTTTTTTTCAACATTTTAAATGCAATATGACCGGACATAGCTGAGTGGCTTAAGACTTTATACCTAAAACCACAACCTTGCCATGAAGGTAAGTTTATTAGTTAAAAGTGCAAATTTTTGTGAAGGAAAAATAACTGCATACAATTGTCCTATAATTAATGCTTTGCGAAAATTTGATTCTGTTGTCACAGCCTGCCAAGATTGTCTAAAGAAATTTAAGTTATAGATAAATTTTAATTTAGATAACTTTTGTTTAGAGATAATAAATAAATTATAGAGATTAAGTTAATGAAAAATAAGGCGAACTCCCAAATATATATATATATATATATATATATATATATATATATATATATATATATATATATATATATATATATATATATATATATATATATATATATATATAAATATAAATATATATATATATATATATATATATATATAAATATATATATATATATATATATATATATATATATATATATATATATATATATATATATATATTTTCATAAACTAATTACAAACTTTTCATCATTTAATAAATTGCAAAGATAATTTTAATAAACTTCTAGTTGGTTTATTATACCAGGATAACATAATTTTGTGTGTTTGTTGTAAAAAGATATAAAACACCCTTAAAACGCTTAGGGGTTGTCCAAAAAGTACGTACGCTCATAAGGTGAGGGAGCGGTCTTCAAATAGCGTACAAAAATGTATGGCGAGGGTGTGGCGGAGGGTTCAATTTAAAATTACGTACGCATAAATCATAAAATTATTCTTAAATAATGCTCGTTTTCCTAATTTAATACAATTAACAATTACTTGTTATTAACTAAATGTTTTTAAAACAATAATTCTCCAACAATAATTCTCCACCAATAGAAAAGTTAACTTTCTGACTAAAGGTCCAAGTTTGCCAACATAAAAGGATGTATGGTATAGGGTAGATGAGGGCATAGCGTTCCTTTTATACACACACGTGCCACTCTTTATACACTGGCCCTGAGTAAGGCGGACTTGTATTTTAAGTAAACCCTTTTTTGAGTCCGCAAAAAATGGAAGGTTCCGCAAAAAACGGAAATTTTTTTGTGGATTTAAAAGCCCCCCAAAAAAAGCATGCAATAAAATATTTTCTTCAAGGTATTGCTAAAATATAAAGCCTTCAATTTGCAAATGGACTCCTAAATTTGCTAGGGTTCCCCCACCGGGGCGGGTTTAGGTTTGGGATAGTTTAACTCCGGCACTGGGTTTCAGGAGGAGGAAGAAAGAATCTGCAAAAAGCGTTCAATAAATTATTGGATCAACTTCAAAAGACACGCTTTAATTTAAAAAATATTTCTTAGTTTATACTATTTTTTATACATTGAAACTTTGTAAGTTATTAAATAAAAAAAATGGTGGAAGGGGTATTTTAAAAACGTACATACTTTTTAAGGAAAGGGGGGGGGTGAGCAAATAATGTTTTGTTTGTTTTGATTTAAGTGATAAAACAAATAAATAATGAGTAAATCAAAACATGAAAAATACTAAATTAAAAAAATAATAATTATAAACAAAAATAGGTAAAGAAATATTTATTGATTTTGTTGTTTATAATAGATCTTAGCTTGCAATTTTCTAATCAACCATCAGCATTTTCCAAGTAATACATTTTTCTAAGTTAAAACTGTTTTCTAGTCATCTTCTTATGGCTCTACAGATCCTCTGGTAGAGCAGGACTAGTTAAGTATCTTAGCAACAAGTTGAGGGACAATCTTAGCAATTAAAATATATAAAAAACTACGTATCACGTGACAAAAATATAGTTTATCATAGGTAGTACTTTAGAATAGTAAAATACTTAACTGAAATATTATTTACAGTCTTTATTTCTGTTGACATTCGAAATACACATTATTTCTTATCACTGATAACCCCTGATAAACTTTTATTTTAGTCTATCTTACTGTTATTTTAGATAAAAACTGATAATTTTTTGTCTTAAGGCAAAATATTTATATAACTAAATATATTTGTCTTAAATATATAAATCAAATTAAATAACGTTATAATTTACTCTCATCTATGGAATCACCCTTGGCGACAATAACCGCTTTACATACTCTTTGCATTCTCAATAATAATTTTCCAATTTATCGAAGACCATTTTGTTTTTCAAACTATTAGGTTCATACTATAAAAATTCGATAAGAGAGAGATCTGATGATTGGGGCAGCCAAATCATTCTATTCAATATTTTACCATTCTCTAACTAACTTGAGTAATTCCTACAATGTTTTGAAGAGTGGTTTAAACCGTTATCTTCTTGAAAAATAATTGCCTCCCCAATTATTTTTCAAGACTTCCTGAAGGTATGACATGGCTTTTGAGAATGTCCAAATCTATTTTTTTAATCATTTTCCCCTCTATTTTTACAATGTTGACTGTAGCATTTCCTACGAAACAGCACTAAACCATAACACTACCCCGATCATGTTTTCATATTCGGCAGCATACATTGTTTCGTTAAAAAGCGACATCATCCTTTTACATCATTACTTGTCTTTAAATTTTATTAATTTTTTGTTTTAAATTTTATTCTATTCGAAATAATAAAAAAAAATGGAAAACTTTTTATTCAAATATTATTTTACTGAGATTGTGATATTATTTTTTTTTTATAGGTTATTTTTTGTTTAATATGTATATGATACAACGGAGCTGAATAAGACTTTTGTCTTCTGCCTGCTTCCGTCACATCTTAACTAAAAAAATATTGTAAACAATTTATTGTGAAAATGACGATATATATATATATATATATATATATATATATATATATATATATATATATATATATATATATATATATATATATATATGTATATATATATATATATATATATATATATATATATATATATATATATATATATATATATATATATATATATATATATATATATATATATATATATATATATATATATATATATATATAAAGGAAAGGTTTCCTTGCAACTTTTTTGCTACCAAGCCCTACTTCAAGCAATCGTCTTTTCTCAGCTGTAACAGATAGAGCTCTTCGAAAACAATTTAAAGTAAGGCAAATTACGGGACTGTTAATATTCTATTTTGTTTAATAGTAATTGAATTTTTCTGTTTTCTGTGCAGATGTTACTCGACAACGTCTTGATCTTTAACAATTGAACACGCTTCCACTTTAAATAGTAGTTAATTAGTCATCGGCTATTTTTGGCGGTTGCCACTAATGTATCACTATGTAATCGATGAATACAGTGGACCGCCTTAAATGACTATACTTTAGCATCAAATGAAGAAAAATATGACTTAATGGAAATTTGCTTTCGCCGTTAACATTCGTTAAGCCCAACCATTTTTCTTTGTCTCTTGGTTGTTTGAGCTAATGAGAATTAACTTTATATATATATATATATATATATATATATATATATATATATATATATATATATATATATATATATATATATATATATATATATATATATATATATATATATATATATATATATATGTATACTATTTCATATTTATTTTTATATGTTTATATTGACAATTTCACTATTTATTATTTAGTGCTCGCATATCAGAATTAAACAGTTGGCTTCGATTACTACAAATTAGTAATGGAATTTACAACGTATTTATTTACGGAAAAATGTATAAAAATTTTTGGAAAAGTGTGCAAATGATGCTACGTTGTAAATACACTCCTTTCGGGGTGTTTGAAAGTCAAATGTCACACTTTGACCCAAGAAAAAGCAATTCTCTTTATTCAGACGAAACCAGAAGAGTAACATTAACAATCATTTCGAACGAGACCGATTTTGGCGGGATGAACAAATACCACTCAATTAAAAGCAAAAGCAGTCAGTGCACTTTATAGCCAATAATAAACGCAGATTTTTTATTATAGCGTGTTTTTATTAACAAAACATGTTTCTCATTTCTTATATGAAATCAATTTAATATATACGAAGAGAACACCGGAAATACACTATAGTAAAAGGTTTTAAAAAAGTTTCTATTGACCATTTATAAAAATCTTTACATAAAGCAAAGAAAACCAAAAATGGAAAAAAAGTTATAATTTGATTAAGTTTAATTTTTAGTTAAACTTTTCTTTTTATTTAATTTTTTTACTTTTGGTCGCTTTATATAAAGACTTTTATAAATGATAAAAATTTATTTCAAAACCTTTTAAAACACCGGGTTTTTTTTCTGTAGTCTTCCAATGTAAAAATAGGAAACATATATACACACATATATACACTCATACATACATACATACATACATACATACATACATACATACATACATACATGCATACATACATACATACATACATACATACATACATACATACATACATACATACATACATACATACATACATACATACATACATACATACATACATACATACATACATACATACTATATATTGCTTAACTAATAAAAGTTTCAAATTAATAAATTTCGAGGAATCTCTCTTTAATCTTTTCCTTATTATACTCTAAAACATTTTCATATATACTTTTTTTAAATTAACTAATTAAATTTTTATCTATAAGAACATAGAATATTTCGTTGGACTTTAGCCTAAAAACATAAATATATATATTTTTATTTTAGGTCATAGTATTTATATATTACGTCATAGTAAATATTTTTTTGTGTATTTTTTTAAAATGTGTGCCGTAAAATTATTGATTATTGATACCTATTAGTTATATATTTTTTTATTTACTTGGTTTATGTTAAATGTGTACTGGTATTGGTAATATCAGTATATATCTAACAATACTACTGATATAACTATGTTCTACTTTACTAAACTAAACTTTAAAGTAAATTTAAACAAAATCAGTAATAGTTGTAATGTGGTTTTTAGCCTGCCACAGATTTCTTGAGAGACAGTTTTTATCCAAAAATTGCGTGCGATTTAATGCAATTTTTAAATCACTTTTTATTGCATAATAGAAAAAAAAATTTTTATGCTAACCGCTAAATGCCAGGGCTTTAAAGAAATTAGTTTTATGAAATACTTTTGCAATTTTTTTTTCGATTTTTCTTAATTTAAATCTACTAATAGAACTTAAACTACGTTTTTTTTAAATATCATATTTAAAAAGGAATTTTAGGTAAAAAGAATTTAAACATATAAGAAAAATAAGTTTAGAACTTAGTTTACTAATTTTAAGTTAATAAATATAATTGAATAATAAACATAATATTTTTTTTTATTTTTTTCTAAGATTAATATTTTAAATTTTGAAATAAGTTAGTTTAACTTTGGCGGCATCAAAATATGCGTACGAAGTAAAACCAGCTCTTTATACAACTGCGTGCTTTTAATGACCCTTTTTCCCTCAGCGTATGTATGCATTATTTATTACAGAATTAACCTTCTCCTCAACCCACAGTTTTTTCGGTGTTGAAAAACAAAAAAACTTTCAGTTATTTAGGTGTATCTATGCTATATAACATAATGTTGGTTGTAAAATTTGTAAAATTGTAAAATTTGTTTTTGACTTTATTTTGATTTCTAGCTGTAATAAGCATCATTAATCGGAGCTCCTGTGTTTATTTAAACTCTCTTAACTCTATACTCTAAAACAGGAACCTTGACGAACAAGGCCGCTACGTGGAAAAACAAGTTAAGCGTGTTACTACCATAGACGTGGTGGGGATTGAGCTCAGAATTTCTCGCTTATGAGGCACGAGCTCAACCACTACACCATTACCCGTAAGCAATGATATATTATATAAAAAGAAGTCTAGCTTGCGGGATTTGATCGGACAAAAAATAAAAAATTTGTTTATAAATATAGTCCGCAATTTGTAAAAAGGGCAAAAGCTGAAGCCAATGTGTGGAATAAAAGTTAAAAAAGCAATTGAATAGTTCCCAATAAATTATAGATAATTCAAAAACACGTCTTAATAATAATAAAATATTTATAAAAGCTTTTTTATGAGTCGATGTTTATTAAACAATATTATAATTAATAAAACGGCTTTAAATGAGTGAATTATATGTCATACCCCTTTTCTATTCAAAACTTTTATCCCTTTCTAATCGAAAATTAAATTTAGGAATCATAAATTATTATTTTTTACAAGCATTCTAATTTCCTCCTAACACTTTTTCATAAATAGCATTTATATTTAAAGTATATTTACATCGTTTAAGAAAATAAAAGTTAAATAATATTTGTTTGCAAACTTAATCTGCCATTTTGCGACGTTTGAATTATGTTTTTCTATCTCTACTTTCTGAAAAAATTGAGTTAATGATAGTATTGTATTCCTTAAAATAATGTCTTTCTACTGAATTGAAATCTGAGTTATAAGTAAAAAAGTTGCGGAAAAAACATAAGTTATAAAAAAAAAATTTATACGCCGTCTCCTAAAGGTTTTGTTTTTTAAATCGTTTTATCTCAAAAGTAAAAAATGTGGAGAAAGAACAGGATAATTCTAACGTTGCGATTTTTAAAAAGGGCAAAAGAGGCTTCTCTTTTTGGATTGAAGTTAGACATCTAGGGATTGTCTATAAATTACGCGACGCAAATATAAATTACATGGTTATTTTTCCTTTTTTTTTCCCGCTTCTTTAAAAAAACGGAAGAGTGGAAACTCACATTTACTATTTCAATAGTTAACAATTAACAACAACAAATTCTTTTTTATATTGTTGTATTATTTCCTTTATAAATTCAATATCGCTTGATACGTACGACTGCTTCACGTTTCTCTAAGATCCAAAGTTTCATGAATTAAGAGCCAGAGATATCGAAAAGACTAAGGCATGATTAGTTTTCCGTATTAAATTAAGAGAGATACCAAAGATGCCAGGCGATGGATAGAAGACATTCCAACACAACAATTTTGATGGATCTTTTTGAAATGATTGTTCCACTAATAGTCATTTTGTAAAATCACACGGAAGAGTTTGAGTAAGGGTTAAGTTTCTAACTAACTGCTAGAAGGAAATGTTGGCAAATCATTGAAATTTTTTTAAGGAGTAATTAACCAATTGAGTTTTTGTGACTATTTATAACTAACGATAACATTGTGTAATGTATACAAATTAAAAAAAAAATAAAGCTATAATACTAAAAAAAAAGTCTTGTAAATAAACATTTATTAAATGATTTCTGATTGAAGTTGATTTGTTGAATGTTTAAAACAACTTGCTTTTATCTTGTTAATTTCAATAACAAAATGATGTTTTCTTTATGATTTTACTGACTTTCTAATATATTTATTCGTTTACTGTAATATCTTGATATAACCTAACGATAAAACAAAGTTTTTAAATTACTAGAAAAATTTTTCGTAGGTATAAACATAGATTTATAGCAGAAATAATTATCCAAATAATAAAAATCATTTTACTTTATTCAGAGAGGGATTAACACTTTCAGATTTTGATAAAAAACACCTTCAACTTGCTAGCTTTGACAAAAATATATTTTCTTTTAAACATAAGCTGTTTATAAATAACAATACCCAAAAGAAAAAGGAAGTAAATAAATAAATATAGTACTAAAAATAAATATGCTGTCTACCAACATTAGGTGTGCTTACGGAAGGTATGCTTTTATAATATATATTTTTAATAATATTTAGTTAATAGATTTCCTTATAAACATTTTTTCTTGCATGGCTTTACATATGTTTCCTGTCGACAATGCGCAGCAATGCACAGCCGGGACAAAAAGCCATATTCAGATTAGGAATTATTAAAACATAAAATAATAGCTCCTGTTGCCTAAATTTTGGTACCAAATTAAACAGCTTATAGTCGAATTGAGTAGCTTACAACGTTGCATGTGCTTTGAAAATTAGAATAGAAGTTGTTGCGTTTAATTTTTACAACGGCTACTGACGTTGTAATGAAAAAAGATTAACATAAAATTGACTAAATAAAAGCACGCTTTAAACAAAATAGGAGAATGGTTGTCAAAGTTTCAGGTATGGAATATGCGATTCCTTGAAATATATTATTGATTTAAGTTAAAAATAAAGAAAAAATCTTCGAACCCAAGAAAGCGCAAGGAAAGAATAGTACGTATTCTTTCTTATGCGCTAGAGTAGGAGAAATAAAGAAGGAATATTAGCAAATGTAAAGTAGCAAAAAATCAAAAAATTTCAACATGACGTCTACACGAAAAAAAGCAGTCCTAACTAGGGTTGGTAGATGTCCGGCTTTTTCGATGGGAACGCAGTAAAAATTTTATTTTGCACAGTTTTAGTACTGCATTCTCCTCCGTAAAAGCCGGACGTTTGGCAACCCTAGTCCTAACAATCAAAGAAAGATATCTTGCTCCTAAAAATTTTGAAAAAGGTTTAACTAAAGAGAGTGTTGCCAAAAAGTTTATCTTCCTCAAAACACTTTAGCTTACTGGATTAAGAATAAAGAAAATCTAATTAACATGTATGTGTGGTAAATTTGAAGCATGGAGACAAAATTTAAGTTTCGGGAAGCATGATTCTGTTGATAAAGCTGTATATGAATGTTTTATGATCGCTCATGAACGAAAATTGCCAATTAGTGGAAACATCACAGACTTTCCAACTCTCCAGTTTTATCGTGAGACTCGCGGTATCGTGAGACTCGCGGTTTGATAACGAATCTCACGGTCTCACGGTTAATCCAAAATCCTCACGGTAAATTTTTAAAATTTTCAAAAGAATTTTTATTCAAATTTACTCTTGCTTAAAACAATATAAATCCTGAAAAAGGTTGTCGTTACATCAAGAACTGATGAAAATTAAGTGCACAAAACAGATCATAAAACCGGCGCCAACATAAAGCTTTAAACATGATTTTATATTATAAATGAATCCGAATTTTTAAAAATGACAACAAAGCAAAAATATAAGAGCAAATAGCTAAACATGGTGTACTGATTACCCGATTAGGGCAACGATATTGATGATAGTACTTTCGAAGAGGTATCTGATAAGATTTTTGATTAAATATTTATTGATTAATAAATTTAATGATTATTATTAAATAATAAAAACAAATTCAGCTAATTTTCGTTGCAATTTGAAACGTTTAATTAAATTATTTGGAATA